ATGATGATGATGATGATGATGATCCTCCGGCGCGGCGAAATGCTGTTGGCCCAGTCGAGTGGATCCGGAACACAAACCGAAGCGGCTGACAAATGCGTAGCTTCTGTCCTCCGGACCAAGTGATTTGAGTCTAGAAGTGCTTCTGGACACTTCTGATCTCAGCAGTGCTGCGGAAAATCTGTCCACCGGTCTTCTCATCATTATGGTCTGCTTGCATTTGTCGTCCGTCTTTGTAATTCCCATACTGAAGCTTGTTTATCCACTTTATGGTATATACCGTCGTGGACGGCACTTATTTTTACTTCCTCTGTAGCGTCGCTGCCATACTCGCGCTTTTCTACCGCTCTTAGTCGTTTAGAAAATACTGATGGCTGTTTACGGAAGTTATGTTCTAGTCTTTCTACGCTTTTCAGCCATAGGTAATGTCTAAGTAATTCGAGCAACTTCTACCACACTTTCTTTGGCTGTGAAGTAACCAGGAACCTGGATTTCCGATATTCTTGAGTTTTTGTTTTGCGGTACGTATGCCCTGCTATACGTGAAACACTTAATCTCAGTCCATTTCGTAGTTATGCCAGACTACTGATTGAAGTAACGTAGTGTGAGCTATTCATATTTTCACATGCTTAACAATGCTTACATCACATTTCATTTTCCATTCTCTCGCTTTAGCGGTCTCACTGAATTTCCCTACTCCACGACCTTGCGGTCGGTTGGTGAACGTCCCACCTACCGTAAACAACACATATGGCTCTTATTGCCCACACACCCGCAGTGCTCCGTCGCACTCAACTCTCCACCCTAAAATGTATCTACCGATCTATAAAAATGATAGAAAGCGGCGAAATCGTCTATGCAAAACCTCCTTCCTTTGATTATATAAGCAAACCTTTTTCGCTGATTCGATCGATACGTGATCCAACGTATGCTCGATTGAATGAAAATAGCAAGGTGATCGTTGTTGAAGGGAACATTGGTTGTGGCAAGTCGTTTTTGGCCGCAAAACTGGCCGAGCACTTCGGCATGAACTACTTTCCGGATATCACAGAGGACGATATCTACGTATTCAAGGACTGTAATCCGGCTTTCGATCTGCGTTGCCATAATGCAATACTGCCGGACGATGCAAAGTATTACACATGTGAAATGTTCTGGAACGAACCGGATTTGATAAATAAGGGCAAGCCACTTTACCTTCAACTGCAATTCTACATTCGCCGGCATCTGAAATATTTGAAGGGCCTGTGTACACTCTTTAATACAGGTAGGTCAACTTCGCTGCCGGTTGACTAATTCGTCTCTGCTCACTCTCAGGTCGTGGTTTCATCACAGATCGTAGTCCATTCTCTGAAATCGCTTGGTCCGATGCATTTCTCAAAGCTGGATACATGTCTGACCGAGGTATTTAGCGCCTCTCTCAAACTCAGTTTACTGTCCTATGTTTAGCGTCTCGATGGTTCAATCAGCATCATGGAATAACGAGTCAGCGTTTGTGGAAACCTCACTTGGTCATCTACGTGAAGGCTACCAATCAACAAATTAGAGACCATTTCAAGAAGCGAAATCTCGTAAGTGCATGTGTTCTCTCTAACACTGCGCTCCACACCGTATGGTCCAGATTCTTTCTCCGATGCAAATGCCTCAAAATTAACGATCTTGAAAATCCTGTGGCTTAACGATCACTCGTTGAAAATTGTAGCGTGCAAACCATTTTGTGAAGCAATTTTCAGAAGGGGCTTTTTAACGGTTGGTTGGGGCGAGATGGCCCAAGTGGTTAGAGCGCGAATTTACTGACCGGAAGGTTCGTGGTTCGAATCCGACCTCCGCCACTCGACTTCCCCTGTCTAGGCTTGGGCAACCTGGCAGTATCCTAGCCCTCGTGCTTCCTTCGGGTGGCATGGCAGCTAGGCACCGGAAGGGTGCTACAGCTGAACGCTTTCTATATCTCATAACCTAGACATTTGGCGCTCATCATCCGATACACTTTACAACTCTTGCCACGTGCGGAACGAGCTACTGCGTACTATTAACCCACAGATCCCCCACGTTGTCTTATACCGCCCATAATTATCAGCTCAGAAGAGTTCATAATTTGGCTCCAGTTTTACTTGCGATTTACAATGTCCATGGTGCCGTGCGTAAAGTTGTCTGTTCAAAATCGAGGAACCATTCAGCTCGATAGACACTTGTAAGATAGAGGTATTCGGGCGGTAGTAGTAATAACACGCCGGGATCTATTGAAAAGCAGTCGAAATGGTTCAGGGTTTGAGGTGCGAAACCACCTACCTGGAAGTCCTTCGTTGGAACCCAAATTTTGATTCTTGACTGCTCTAGGACAGCGTGATAGTATCTCATTCTTCGTGTTTCATGGCAGCTATGTGCTAAAGTGTACCACAGCTAAATGATTGTTATTAACATATGTTACGTTTGAAAGTCTTACAGTGAGGTATGTCTGTCCGGTGTGGGTAGGAACAGTGTTCCAATGATCAATTCCAGGAGCGAGTTGCCTCGGTCAAGATGTTCCCCTGTAACACGTTTTCTCTTTCACACACATCGACTTTTGTCCAACCGAACATTACTGTCGAACGATTCCGACGAAACCCGTGCATTGTCTTCTAGGCACGGGGGCTATAAGAGTCAAATATTTTTGCACGACAAAACCAATGGGTTGAGATGCTTTTAGAATTTTTCTGGTGGTGGAATAAATGCTTGCATTGTCATTTCTAGCAAAGGCGATACCTCTGATAAAGCCGTCGTGTTCCGTACCTTGGGAAATCGTCAGTCGATAATTGGATTTATACCCCTTCGTGTTTTCCATATCGTTGGCTCAGTGCGTTCACACCTGATCGTACGCATGAGTTGTGGGGACTTAACTAGAGGCGTTTATACTGAAGAACAGTGATTAAGTTGATAGTCCGCGAACCAAACACTGTCTAGACATTCTTTATGTCTGTTTGGTCCGTCATTGGGACGAGAATTGCGTGCGCATGGTAGAATCTGGGTGTGTTTTCTCTACAAATGATATGCACAATACGCAACGATACATTTCTTATACAGTACTACCTGTAAAGCAGTTTACCAAGTACTGATCTAACCAGGCTGTGAGTCATGTTGCTCTGTCTCCATTTAACTCTTCTGTTCTGCTTTTTAACTGTTTTCTGTGCGTCAGAGTTATCGTTATCATTGTTATTCTAAGCAGCAATGCACCGTTAGTACAACGTTAGCACCCAGCTACCATACTTCTTTTGACTGTTATTTGTGCACCTGAGTGCAGTGGTCATAGTCTTTACAGCCGATAGACTAGGAGTGAACTTGAAAAAAGACGATTATGTGTGGAAGACCAATCGAGAAGAGCAAATCTGAAGTGAGCTGATTTAGCCATATCAAGGGGTTTTCCGAACATTGGCTAAGTTGGTCCTTGGTTCCAAACCCTGGCAAACAACGACACCAATGTGATGAAGACTGTGAGTTGGATCTCTAATACAAGTTGGATATTTCAAAACCTGCATACCAATTGGATTTTTAAACCCTGATCCTAATGTAGCAAATAAGGTCTGTTTCAGTGTGCGTCGCATACCACCGAATGTAGGTTTACCAAGCCGTCAACTGAGCGTCCACCAAACGCCTCTGCAGATACCATTAGAAGTACTCAACCGTTGGAACTACGGTTCCCCCCTCACCTGTGCAATGCCGCGTAGACACCGATGGTTGAAAACAAAGTGGATAAGTCCAACTCGCACTCACCAGCAGCGGTTGCACTATGGTGTTGCACACTACCGCTTACGGATAGGGTGTGTGATGACTGGGAACAAGTGCAGATTAATGCAGTTCGATGAATTTGAGCTGCTGTTCGCTATCCAACTACTACGTACATGAGCAGCAAGACCGACTAGACTGCGTCCAAGTATCTCGGTATGAGCGTTTCTTCGTGAATTTCTCATTAAGCAGGAACACAATAATGGGCACACAACTGAAGCAGTCGCTCCGCATTACTGTACATTGAGTATCTACTTCAAATCTACCACCTAACTGTGTTTCTTCCGGATTTAGTCGTCCAACTTGGACATTCCAGTCATCCCGCATTCTTGCTTCAGAACGTGCCATCTGCGAACATATCCCTTACAATCCAGGGAGAATCACTGGAGATCGTGGAAAATTTTCCATACGTCGGTGGTTGTATTAGCTCTGACAGAAGTATGTCTGATGAAGTCAGTGTAAGAATCTCAAAGGCTTGAATCACGTTTGCTAATTTGCGTCACTTGTGGCGTCAAAAAGGCATTTCACTAGATCTTAGGGGTCGTGTGTGCCAGGCTACAGTAAGGGCTGTGTTGTTGTATGGGTGCGAAACATGGCCGGACGGATGATGTGGGGTGTCTTCAGGTTTTCGACCACCGATGCCTCGGAAGCGTGGATGGTTTTGGATGGCGTCAGCGTGTTAGTGATGAGGTGATTGGAAAACGGGTATTTGGTTGTGCTGCATGTACTTCAGTCGGGGAAAACATCCAGCACCGACTACCATGACTCGGTTGTGTTACGCATGCCGAAGCACCGTCTACCGAGACGAATGTTGTTCTCCGTGCCTCCTTCAGGATGGCGCAAACCGTGAGGTGGACAGCACATGACTTGGCAGAAAGGCGTGAAAGAGATCACGAAGAGTTTGGGTGTTGTTGATGTTGTACGCCTTCCAGGATGGGGTCCCCGTTACCCCGTTTATGCCTGCTGGAAACGTTGCCAGAAATGGCGGCTAATCGATGTCAGTGGCGTTTGTGTTGTCAGTATCTTTCCATATTGTCTGACTGAGCTGTTGGAGGTGTAGGCATCTCAGAATGTTTGACATACGCCAGCACTAGGTCCCCTCCCTCACCCGCTCTTTTTCTCTTCTTTTCACTCTAGGGCTTTTAATATAATTAATATAATTATATATATGTATAACTAGGCGAACCTTATGGTTGTACGGCAATGAAGCATCAATGTTAACACTGATGTTGCTGTCTTTGATAATGATGATGATGACCGAAGTAGTCACCACAGATCTCAATAAAACCTGCCCTTCTCAGTCTTAGAAGTGCAGTGTATCGGCGCGTATGCTGATATAATAAATAAGTACCATTTGCTACACTGACTTGCGTTGATCTAAATGAAGCGAGACAACCGCATAGCGCAAATTTAACTGTTTACTGGGATCCAGTCCAGTAAAGCGCTTTCAGCCTTGGGGATTGAGTGCGACTCACACACCATGAACCATTGCGTCAGGATCACCAGATATTCAAAGAGTGAAATGTGGAACGTTTGAGCTCGTCCTAAGCGGCTCAAGGTGCACGATCGAGATGTAGTCCTATATGCATGTTTCGGGACGCAACATACAGCAGCAGTTAGAGGAAGCTAGGTTTCAGCAAGAGATGTCTGTCGCCTAATTTGACGTGTGTACGGACATTGAACAAGACTGCAACGTGGATCAGATCTTTTGAGACTGGTAAGTGATTGTTTTGGTTTAGACACGGAACAGTGGCTAGGGGACTGGCAGATGGGTTGATCGCACTGCATCATTCGATGGGTGGGGACGAGATGTGCGAGAAGGCCGTCGGACGAAAGGCTGCAGTGGCGAATAGTATTCCCCGGTTGTCCAAGCGGGAGAACGGGGTTTGGTTGATGTACCCCACCTTGAGCCTTCGAATCAGAAGCCTGACCTACAAGCTAGCGGGAGGGGGCAGGGTTTTGCCCGGGGACCTTACTCCTAGCCCGTGGCTTAAAAGTCTTGACCGCGAAGCCTCTAGGGGGACCCTTCCCAGAGCCAGTGATTCAATAGTCTGACCGACTTTGCTGCAGAGGAGCGGGCCTGGCCGAAGGACCCAGGGAGTAAGACATCACTGTTTCACTCCTGATTCGGCTGCGCACAACAGTTGCATTTTGAGCAGCACCAGACTCGTTTTAAATGTGTTTCGACGGTATTGTATAATTCATCGGAGGTCACAGCCAACCATTGAGTGGTCGGTGTGTGCGGTTTTTACGGCCGATATTTTCTAACCCGCCCTTCCTCGGGGGGAATGCAGCACCACTGCTTCTATACGTATGGAGATCCTGGTCGCCTGAACGAGGTGCATTACTGCCCTCACACATACGTAGCCGAGGACAATACAGCTTTACCTCCAGACCACCTCGTAATACGAGTGCTCGCAGTACGGGGACTCGCTGTTCTTCGTCAGCTGCCCACTTTTCTGGAGTATTGAACCTTGGGGAACTGAGTTCCAGCCAGTGTAGCCCGCAGGATTAACCCAGCACTCAAGCCCAACCACTACGACAAGGTGTCAGCCTTAGGTCGGGGGTGAAATGTGTGTTTGTGTGTCTAGGTGTAACGTGATTGGTTGTCTGTGTATACGTGTCATATCCGGGCCAAATTCCGTGATAGTGGTGACGCACGGAGGGCGAGTGATCAATGGGTGCCCAATACGCTGATGTAGAAGAGTGGTGAGCAATTTTTTGATGGTACCTGCCGGGTGGTACCATGCCGAAGTAAAAAAAAAGTTGGGTGAATTCTAACCAGCCATTGTGCTTCTAGCGCCCGCTGCTTCGGCAATACTGTCATTGGATGATACCCACATAGGTATACTTAGTAGCTTATTGTGGTGGTTCGCTTGCAACAATTATTGGATGGGGTTTTGTACTTTGATGCTGCAAATAGCATGTCGAGAACGCTAGTTGGGTGGACAATTTACTTAATGGTTTTTGTCTTTTGCTAGGGTGCAGTTCAAACAGTATGAAATCAACCGCGTACTCTAGATGTAAGATCCGGGTGGTTTAAAATCTTACAGAACTGAATGCATTTGTTATTTCGTGGCTACTGGGCAGTCGGAACAGATCGATAGGGTCAGTAGATGCTGTGTTGAGAACTGATGGTATGAACAAATGGTCTAATAAACATCACGGATTAAACATAAACTACGATCAACAATAGCGCAGTCGGTAGGAGCAGGGAAAGAAACACTGAAACAGCTGAGCCTTCTGAAAGCAATAACGAGTAGGTACCAAATGCTATACGAACAATCAGTAGATGAATTTAATAACGGTGCAGAAGAGATTCAGTACATCCCAGAGGTATTTCCGAATCAAAGAGAAAGGGGAACTGTCTGCAGTCTTTAGCCGACAGCTCGACAAATTATCACGTGCTACGTGCTGGATAGCGCGTTCGTCTGCGATCCGAGTTCGGTCGAAAGTGCAAGCGAGGGACGAGCGGCAGGGACGCAAAACGACGTTGTGGGAAACAGGCGTAAGTCACGCTACTCCTGAGTGGCCAAAAAAGTAGAAGAATAACCACTGATTGCCGTCGATTCACAGGAGTGATCAACACTAACTTACTGAGGTCTTCTGCAGGAAGTGGCTCAACTGCCTTGTATTTACTTCGGTCACGAAGTTTAGAGGAAAGAGCACCAGCGGACAGCTCTGTCGGATAGCACTTTTGCGAGTGAACTGAGACGGGAATGCCGTGTTTTACCGTCCTGGAGTGTAAATCCACTTGAATTTCATTAAATTAGCTGGGATTAGCCTACTCACTTCTCTGCTCCTAGGAAGCGTTCCATCTTCCGTAAAGTTGAAACCGGATCGTTTGATTGACTTCTTCGATGGTTTGCTCTTGGGGAGTACCAGGGAACATATACCACTGGTTGCTTCGTCCCTAGATGTAATCCATCACTTTGGAGCGTTTTACCTCACTGGAAATCGTTCACTTTCTGTTTTTGTCTAGCCTTGGGAGATGAACGGCATCAACTTGACGGACAAGTTTTTAGATACATACACAAAAATGTTGGAGAATAGCTACCTTGCTCGAATGAGCCGTTACTCCGAAATTATGGTGATAGACGGAAGCACCATGGACGTCTATGATGAAAATGACATCAGGATTGTAAGTTGCCCCTTGCTTTGAATTTTTCCCCATGCTTTGCTGTACCGAACCTGCATAAGTTGTTTTGGA